GGGGGGGGGGGGGGGGGGGGGGCAACCACACCACACATGAGCCGTGAGGTTCCCCCGGACACGCGCTCCTGGCATCGATATCGGCGCGTGTTGCGGTGCATGCATGCGTTCACCCCCGTGATGTGCGCTCCGAACCAGTTGACTTATTCCCGCGTGTGTGTCACCTCTTTCTTTTCTCTTCTCGCAAAAAACAGGACTTGGAGAAGATGTACGCATACGTCGAGGGCACGACTGCCTCCGCGTTGATTTTCTATGGCAGGTGTGTTTTCGCGAACAGCGGGATGTATGTACACTGGGGGGTCTGCATTGCGACCGTGAAATCTTAGGCGGGAACGTTTACAAGTACTTTTCTTGTCTGGCTGTAGATGCATGCGTTTGTGTTCGTGGGGGTGTCGGAGAGCTCGGGCCTAGAAAGTGCGCTGTGCACGAATTGGCTTGTTGTTGTACGCCGAAGGTGTTCTAACCAGAGAGAGGGCTTTCGTGAGTGCAGGCACCCGAGCTCTCTCGCTGCTGTTGAGGCGTGCAGACCCGTTGCTTCTGCGGCCCTGGTCCGCTGGTCTGGTTCTCCTTGCCCTTGAAGCGGCACCAACGAGGTGGAGGAGGAGGAGTTGTGTGTGTTGACTGGTAGATGGCGAGGCGAAAATCAGCATGTCAATCAGCTGCTGCCAACGTTTCTTGCTGCTGCGCTCCTGCGCCGCGCAATTGTCCTATCCGTCCGCATTTTCATCCTCAAACAACCTGTCAATCAACTGCTGCCACCTTTTCTTGCTGCCTCTTGTGCCGCCTTTTGCCTTCTTCGTCCGTCCGTCCGTCCGTCCGTCCGTCATGATGGTGGCAGCCTTCGCTTCGGCGGTAAAACGCCCGCGCTGCTGGCGTCTCTGGTGACGGGAGCGGCGGCGAGCTCGTTTGTGTCAGCCGCTTCGACCAGCGGCCTGTCGGCAGGGACGACGAGCGCCGACATGAGCGACATCGGCTCAGGCAAGAAAGGTGTTGCCAACGAGGAATAAGTTGACGATTTTTCACCGTCCGCCCAACCGCCACGCACAGTGCTGCTCGTGGCGCAGCCGCCGCTAGCGGTGGTGTTAAGACTTGGGACTGTGTTGCCCCAGGAAAGGAGGATGAGGAAAATTCCTCGCGCATTCATTACACGGCAGTAGGGGGGGCGAAATACGGCCGCCTTCTGTAATGCCGCACGATTTCACCGGTCTTCTTTCGGGCATCCGGCACTGTTGAGAGTACAGGAGTGATCCCACTAGAATGCCGGTTGATCCCCTGTATACTGCCGGTCATATCGTCTTGCACACACGGAATATTCGATGCCAGTCGGCCGCTAGAATGCCGGTTCTAGAGGCTGGCACCTACGGGGCCCACCAGTGTATGAGACATGTTGAATATCCCATCGGTGTCAAGCGATTGCACCGACCTAAATTTCTGGCGACCGGCCTTTCGCAGGACCCCATGGTACCGTACATAGTGCGCGTCAGCTGGGAGGGAGCGCCGTGTCGAGACGCTACGTACTGACGAATGTTCACACTGGCGACCCCCCCCCCCCAGTTTCACTCAAAACTAGTAACCCCCGTTTCACCCCTCTACGCAGCGGTTCCTTTACACTCGAGGACATTGTGAATCACGCCAGTGGTTTCTTTGTCTCGTGCTTACAAAGAACGCGCCGCCAATAACGCAGCAGCAGTCAATACCTCGGACACTGGCCATAAAAAGGAATATCCAAATCTCAGAACCCTGGCCATAAGAACAGATGCTCAGTCAAGGGGCCTACACAAAAACTCGTAGCCCACGTAAACAGACCTCGCTCGCGGGTATACTACATCTGTAATAATAGAGAAAACGAGGCTCGGCCGTATACGAGGTGTTCTTACGTGGTGGTTGCCCGTTCTGTGTGCTCACGTACGTACGCGATGTCGCCACAGGTGGGACGACTTCGGTTCCTGGAGACCGCACGGACGATGCGACATGGACGTTGTTGGTCTGGATCATCTCCATCGGAGTGGCGATGGTGGTAAGTGTGCACGGGTCCCGCCCGTTTGCGATACCACTCGACGAGCAATTTTCGGTTTGGTGTTCTGTTGTACCGTGTATCACTGGAGTGGGGCTTCACACGCAACCCGGTCGGATTCACTTGCAATCAGTGAAATACTACCCGTTCGAGTGAAATACTACCCGTTCGAGTGGAAGACTGCCCGTTCGAGTTGAAGACTACCCGTTCGAGTAAAAAACTACCCGTTCGAGTGAAAGACTACCCGTTCGAGTAAAAAACTACCCGTTCGAGTGAAAGACTACCCGTTCGAGTGAATACGACGACGTACACAGATGGCCAGACCGACTTCGTGAGAAATTAAGTTCATCAGGAAATAGAACATGCAGGGGGTACATACGCAGACCCTATCCCTATCTCAACTTCCCCGATGGCATGTTTTATTCAACAAGTTTACTTGATTGAAATACCCTGCGAAAGGCTGTCTACTGCTGTTGTGTAGCACAGGAGCTTCTCGTCATGACCGCCCCATTGTTCGTTGTCGCGGCCGCCGTGCCAACCCCCCCCATCCTCGTTGTCGCGACCCGCCTTGTGGTTTGAACGTCTGTCTGGTGTGTCGTGGGCTCAGGTGGCCTGGATTGTGTGGCTATCCCCTCTCTGGGTCTTGCTCAACCTCTTGGTCTGGGCGGAGAGCATGAGCAGGAGCAGGAGGAGGGGGTCATCGGGATCGCCCAACATTCAGGCCACAGGCGCCGTGGCCGCAGCCCCCAACATGCCCGCCCGCAGCATCCGCCGCCGCCACGCCCGCCGCAGCCCCCGCCATGCCCGCCCCGCCCCGCCCGCCGCGGCACCGCCCACCGCGGCCCCGCCCACCGCCGGCCACGGCCACGGCCCCGCCATGCTCGCCACAGCGGCATCTACGGTACCTAACACCCGCCCCAGCCACGTCGAAACCCCAGGGACTCCTGCCCCCGCGAACACCGGGCCTGCACAGCCCGTGCCTAACGCTCTCCCTGCGCCGGGGCCTGAACCGCGGTTGGGGCGCGGCCGCCGCAGGGCCATGCGACGCCTGTTCCGCGGGATATCCTTGGCCAGCATGGTGGCCAAAGTTAAAGAAGCAGCTTCTGACGTCGACGTGGACGAAGTAGTTTCTAGTGTTGGCGAGTTCTTTGCCGACGTTGGTTTGGCCGTGGTGGGGTAAGCAAGTTCGTTCGATCGTTCCAGTCACGCCTACGGTAAGCTCCCTCCCTCCGTGCTGCAGTCGCGTGTGCTGTGTGGGGGGTCCATAGGAGGAGGAGGAGGCGAAGACCCGCCCGGACAGTTAAAGGTGACACCGCCGGTGGTGCTGTGGCGTGATTGATGATATTGTTTTTGTGCTTCTCTTGTCGAACATATATACATGGTGTGCGTTGCACGGGGTGGGCCGGTGGGTGACGGTGAAGGCTGGCTAGGGCAGGTATGCATACCACCGGCATCGTGCCGTGGTGGTTGATATTTCTTTCGTTTGTCGTGCGCGCGCGTGTGGGTGGTTGGTGGACGTATGTCATGATCGGCTACTTTCTGCTCGGCCGCACGGTGTTGTCGATATTTCCTCCTGTAGGAATATCGTGTGCTGCATGCTACTCGAACGGGTGTGGGAAGCGAACCCATCGTTCTGCCTTCGTGGACGCGCTCTTTTTTTTTTTTTTTTGTTCGAAGGGAATGGGGGGGGGGGTGAAACGTTGTCGCGAGCCTTTCCTTACCGCCGGGGTGGTAACCGTGTCTGGCTCTCGTCGTTTCGCCGTTTTCAGCGCTCCGGTGATGAAGCATCAGCGGTCCTAACGAGCCAAGGGGTTGATTGAGTGCGTGCAGTGTGTGGGTGCAGCGTCCCCCCGATAGTATGTGCTGGTCCATTTTCGTTTTGTTGTTGTTTTTGTCAGGGTTGGATTCTGGTGCTTCTTGACTGCCAGAAGTCACCATTGGCGAGGATTCAATCGTACAGACCGTCAGCGTAGCAGGGTAGCTATTGTATGATAGGAGCGTCGGTCGAGATACGTTGCGACTTAGTCACGGAGGTGGGGGTGCGGTGTCTACGAAGTAAGTTAACACTCGAGCTGCCGAGATTTTGCACACTGTATTGGAGGAAGGATTTGGCATATTTTGATTATGATATGGTTGAGGCCTATGTGCTTCCGAAGCGTATTTGAAATTGGTCGATGAGTTGAAACATGGTTTGGTGCGAGGATTTTGTTCGAGGTATTAGTTGACGCGTTTTACCAGAGTTGTCCGTTCAGAGTCTTGATGACGTGGCTCTGGTGTAATGTTGATATTTGCTGAGTATTTTTCCAAGGATGATTCTTTGTTTTTGGCCGCTCGAGAATTTGTTGATGACATTTACTCGAGAGGGGTGATTGTTAAGACTCTTAGTGAAGTTCCATAGTCATACGGAGGAGTAGTAACCTGCAATTTGAATATCCGATAGACCCGGGAGATGAGATGGTTTGTGGATACGACAGATAAACGGTTTTTAGATATGTTGCCGTTTTACCTGGCGATGTTTACGGAGGGTTTTCGTAGATCGTGTCTCGTGCCGAGTATTATAGTAGGGAAGCTGGTTGTGTGTGTACTCCGCAGGATACGAATCTCCGAGATCTCCGGGGGGTAGATATATATGTGTAGTGATGGGTGTGATGGACTTGACGCGCTAGGCTCTGCTTGCCTGCCCATGTCTCACTCTCTGAATTAATACAAGGAACTTGAGTCAGTTTCTATAATCCTCTTCGTCGTGGAGTAACCGAGCCTTGAAAATTGGTCCACAGGGGGGGGGGGGGGGTTGGTATCTCGCGCGTGGGACCTTATGATCACGTCCCGGGTCGACCCCGGAATGTTTGGCCGTCCCACGACCAGCGGCTTCACAGACCAAAAAGTGGGTTATCATCGAGAAACTTCTCATGGAACATGCTGGTACGGAATGGTATGGTTGATACGAGGCAGGGCACGGGAGAAAAAAGCCTACGGCCATGCGAGATCCTTACATACAAGCACTCTGTTATGTATCATCATCGTTGTTGGTACGGGGCAGGGCACGGGGGGGAAAAGCCCGCGGTCACATACATGCAGACCCTGGTTTATATGCTTCGCATTTTTTTCCCCGTCTGCTTGCCAAAGAGATAACGAAACGAAATGCCGTTCTTTCATCTCAATCAAGCGTCAAAGGAAGCAAAAACGAAATGCCGTCAAGCCGACGTAGATCTGATGTATGTATGCGTGTCCTCTTCGACAGGGCAGGCACCCTTCCTTTCGCTCTCAAACACGGACTTGAATACCTGGATTTCGTTTCGACCACAAAATATTTTTTAACCTCTTTGACCTCTGTATCCGGTGCCTCCATCCTCGTCCAGCTGGTAACATTAGTAGCTCATCGCTTTAAATACGATGCGAACGACGGGGCGGTCAAAACAATTCGTCGAAAAAACATGGACCGCCCCCCTTTCCCTCCCTTCCCAGGTCGTGAAACTGCGAAGCTCTGCTGCTACGGCTGTTGTTGTTGCTGCTGCTGCTGCTACATCCTCGCCTATGGTGACTTCTGGCAATCAAAAAGCCCCCCAGATTCGAAAGGCGGACAAAAACAAAACCACAAAACAAACGAAGAAAAAAAAAGCGCGTCCATGAACGAAGAAAATAGTAATGATCACACTGCCAACACCCGCTCGAGTAGCACGCAGCACACGATATAAGTATGTCCTAAATAAGATAGACAACACGATGTCGTCGAGCGGCAAGTAAACGAACGTGCGCCAACGAAGCACATGATGACGTACGCACGTCGTTCATCCACACACGCGCACACAAGAAAGAGAGAAACAACGACGGTGCGGCACGCCGGCGATGGTACGCAGACACTATCCCTAACCCAATTTCCCCGAGTGCATTCTTTATCCAACATGCTGCACTCCAGATAAAAACCCTGGCCAGTCACCCATCGGCCTATCCATCTCATGATGCACACCATGCATGTACGACAAAACAAGCACAAGACAATCACACCAGTTATGGCACAGCACGCGGCGGTGGCACAGTAGTACCGCCTGGGAGGGTCTACACCTCTTCCTCCTCCGCCTATCGAGCCCCCACGCATGCAGCCACAGCACGGACTCCGGGCGGCGGGGGGAGGGGGGGGGGGTGGCAAAGATGTCAGTTGACAGGGTTTGACCCTCTTGACATACGTGTCAAGGACTAACGCCCACACTAAAACTGGTATATTTACCAAAAAAAGACGCCCTGGACAAGAAGACTGTCAACCCCTGCCAACTGCCATGGAGGTACCGGTGTGGTGACTGCAACGATACCGAAGGAACGGCTACCCCACCACGCCCCCAAGTGCTCCGGCCACGGTGGAGGCGGCCGCGCAACATTCGGAAGCTGCTTCATTCACGTGAGAAGCAGCTTCGCGCGCGTGGACGCGATGCGGATGCAGCTGGCCCTGATGCTGCCGCAGAGCGACATCGCGCGCAGGAGCCTGCGGCCGCAGCCTACCCGGGATGGTTCAGTCTCGGGTGTCGTAGATGCTGCCGCCGCCGCCGCCGCCTGGGAAGCGGCCGTGGCGGCGGCGGTGGCGGCGGTGGCGGCGGCGGCGGCGGTAGCGTTAGGCACGGGCGGAGCAGGCCTGGCGCTCGCGGGCGAAGGGGGCGCTGGGTTTGCTGCGGTCATGGGGGCGGCCGCTGGGGGCATGGTCGACGCATGTGTTGAGGTTTCAGACGCCGTGGATGCTTCCGAAGCCGCGGCGGACGCCTGCCGTCGCGGCGAGTTTGCGGCAAAGTCAACCATGTTTGATCACATTCAAATACGCTAGGCCTTTCATCAAAGGCCTGCACAGGCAGAAGCAAGCACGGAAGACGCCCATATAGCTAACAACGAAGTGTCGTTCTCAACGGAAACAAAACTTATATCCAAACCATGGCGAAGAGCGTGGAGACAGCTCAGAGCGTACTCACCAGGATCAGCATCGTGAACTGGACAGCGTGCGGCAGCTCGTACCACGTGCGCTTGAACCCCGGCGGAAGCTAGAGGCAAGATGCATCCGTGTACGGCGGCCCCGATACGAGACACAAGACACCCACGGCCACCAGAACCCTGTGCTCGCCGTAGAAGGCGTGCTACTCGTGGTACGATGTACCCCAACTGTTATCGTCACAGGTACACCACTCACTGTTGATTTCCACTTGGGCCATGTTCAGCGCTCAGGTCTCGAACACCAGGGCGAAGCAACTGTAATAGCGTACGACACGCGACGAGCGGGTGCAGAGAGAGCTCACGTAAGAAAATGACAAGAAGACGTCAAAGAAGGGTCGCGCTGCCCGAAACCCCAAGCAGCAGCTATATCTCGACCCGTTCACCCTGAAGAATATCCCATGGTAACACCGCGCAGGGCCGAACGTGAAGTTGCGCAGCCGTTCCACAGTCTAGACTACCACAAGTCGAACGTATGTGGTGGAACTTTTCCTCAGAGAGAGATAGATGATATCCTCTACATAGTCGTACAGGGTCGGCCGTTTGTTTTTGAATCAATATCGCTTGGTCCTGTACCGTCGTAGGACGTTCATTCTCGGGTTTCGTAATCTTGGCCCACCTACAGCTGCATCGGCGGCGGAAAAGTGCTAACAACTGCTGCAACTGCACTAGACTTCCGCGAACACACTCGTACATGGCATCGACATTTCGGCTACGTACATTGCCATAACCAGCGTGCCTGGGCCCATTCGATGTTGAGCTTGCTTCCGGTACACAACCAAAAGGTATTCAGGGCGAATTTCCAGAGACGACGCAGGTGGGTTGGGATATCTGCACACCGTATCTGCACAACGTTGTCTGACATAACTGCAGTGCGGCAAGCAACAGCCTTCTTGAAGGCGACGAATCCGTCTGCTCCGTAGCAGGGCGAGAACGCGTACTACACCCGTGATGCTTACCGCGAAGAGCGTGCAGATTCTCCAGCTCCACATCACAAGCAAGAACGTCACCTCGTCTCTTGCTTCGAGTATGATACTGCAGTTGGCGTCGCAGCAAGCCTCACCTGGAAAGCATCATCGCGTCCAACACAATTACACACACGCGTGCTAGTTCAGGCGTTAAGCAAGGGAAGTGAGGGGAGCTGGAAGAGCGCCATCCGCTCTATCTTAAAAAGGCACGCGGGAAACAAAGTGAAATAGACTAGTTGGGGAAGCTGCGCTTGAACCTTGGACAGCTTCCAGCAGCTACACAGAAAAATCGCCGTGTAACACGCACAATACACCTGGAGTGAAAGATGCCGACCACAACCGTATGTGTGTAGGTTTAGGTTGCACAAGATACCACACCCACCCGCCGGGGGGCGATTTTCGTTCCGTATTCGATTTGCTCTGCTACAAAAACGAAATTCTTCCACTCACTAACAAACTTCGTATTATCTAGAATGGTTGGTGTTTCTGTGTTTGTATGTTCCAGTATATATTTTCGTCATCGCAAGAAGAACCTTCTATTCTACTTTACGGAGATTTATCTCGTCCATCCGTCTTGCTGTCTGTTCCCATCTCCATGCAGCAACTGTCATCCTCCTGTCGTGGAAGGTGTGCCATTGTTAATAATAATGCGTACTCAAGAGATGAGGGAAGAGACGCGATATTTTGTGTTCGTCTCTGTTCAAGAGGTTCCGTGGAAACAAGCAGAACACAAGCCGGCCGTCCGTAGTCGGAATACTGTGGGCAGCCACGCACCCTTCAGCCAAAGAGCAGTCTCGTCATTCCCTTGAATCGTGGTTGGACTTACCAACGATGTCAACGGCTGTCGCGAACGCGGAGTTGTGTCGGCCGAAGGTCCCGCGCAAAACAACGGTTGAAGCATATGACCGAGGCTAAATAACAATTCGGCCAGACGGAGCAACCACAGCAGGGGGGGGAAGTGGGAGAGAGGGAGAAAAGTCAACGTCGGCACGATTCACCCCTGTGAACTGCCGAAGTCCCCGGATCGTGGCAACAATCAACAGTCAGTCTCGTGACGTACCTCGTGATGGAGCTTGGGCTCCGCGCTCACAGCAGCTTCGCCCCCTTCACGCTATTGACTCGGGGGTACGGGCGTGGAACACGAAGCCGAAAGCTTGCCAAATGCTGCAAGAGGCACATCAATACCGCTGAATCACGAAAAACCGTGTCCACACCCACCAAAGAAGAGGTGTAACGACGGAGGAGGTGCGGATGGTTGGCAGCTCACGATCAAGCGCACCTACCTCGGGAAATTGGCCAGAAAAAGTGCCAAGGCACTCGTTGCGATCTGGTGTTCAGGCTTCATGCCAGTTTCCGTTTCGCAGACAGACGTACTGCTGGAGATGAGAGATCTTTCAAGTCTGTGTAGTCTACCGCGAGACAGACACAGCGGGGGCAAACAAAAGTGTGGGTCGACCCAAGCAGTCAGCGTTTGGCCACCACTGCCGTAGTCAGTGTGGCCATGGATGAAAACAGCAGTTCATGAAGGGCGCGGCTCTTCCCGTCGCCAAAAAAAAAATGCACGGCGGGTACATGTAGTAGTTTGAACTGGTTCACCTAAAAAAATACTGCAACAACGAGTAACCGGTTCGTATATCCCGCAACAAACGACGGTGGGGCGCGTCTCGCAAGGCGACACCTACTTCCCTTTCAAGGTTTTCTGTGTTGAACACCGAATGACAGACGAATTGCCTCCATGACAACAATAATAGTTGAAACGACAGCATGGCAGCGCTCGCTTGTTTGAGCAACTAACAGGCGTGGGGCACCATCGGGCGCAAAGCAACGAGGGGAGGACCGGACGAAACAACTGATGATGGCGATGACCGAGAGAGAGAAAGACGAATCGGAAACGAATGATGAACGGTCCTGTAGCGTCGTCGGTTGTTGGAGCGCTTGGGGAAAACGGGACAAAAAAAGCCGGCCCCGCGCTCGCGTTCGTCCTCATCGTCAGAACCTACGCGCACTTCTATGGGTATGATACGTAGATCGCGACACCTGCTACGGCTGGTTCTGCGCTCCGGGATCTACTACGTTGTACGTCTGTATCTCGGTGTTGCGGCAGGCACACGGTGACACTGCTGTAGGCAATCACTCGCTCACCTCGGTGGTCAGAAGTTATTTCCATGTACAGCAACAGCAGTAGTTACAGCTGTTGTTGCGTACCAGAAGAGGTGCAGTCTGGCCACCGCGCCGGCGCTTGGATAACAGTACGCCAGCCAATCAGGTGGCTGCATTCACGGGACAGAACATCCATCGACCCGAAAGCAACCGCCGCATCGCATGTATCGGCTGCGGGAAGCTGCCGGTTATTACCGCATTGGGGATGACTGCGGCAAGTGGGCCGAGCCGTGGACCCGCGGCCGCACCAGACCCGCGATCGCAGCCGGGTGTACGTCCCTCCACGGCAACAGCGTTTGTTCCATTCCGCCGGAAATTCCGTCATTTATCATTCTTTCCTCGTCTCGAATTTCGGACAACTCTGTTCCGGTATTCTACAGCAGCAGTCTAGAGTAGATGGGGGATGGGTGGATCGTCGGCCGCCCTGTTCCTCCCGCTCCTTTTCCCGATCCCCACGCTACTCCGTCTGGATGAACGTGGCTGCAAGCGGCTTTCATGATACGTATGTATGGTTGCAGTGGTCATCATGCTATGTGGCCGGTGCGCCCGCTCTGGCGCGGGGAATTTTCCGGGAAACATGCTTGCGTTATTTATCAGAACCCCGCGAGGGGCGTTCTCCAGACTATGTTTCCCGAACAGACAGTTCCTTAGAAGCATCGTCAGAACATACATGATGACCTCTCAATCCCTCCATCTCTCGAACCCACCAGTCGTCAGTTACACTCTGGATGATCGCTGGAGAACAAGAACAGGTGAGTGTTGTGCCTCGGGGTACACACGCGCGCGCAGAGGCAACACCATGACAAGCTAGACCGCGATGTTGTCATCATGGTTGAGACTATGAATCACCGTTGTGCAACCCTTGAATTGCTTTCATTTCTGGAGGGTCTTGCCGCGGGTGACTGGCTCTCTTCATGCAACTGTGACATTTTCTCCTACTGCTTGCCCGGGGCATACAGCCGTATGCCCATATGCCCATGCTGCCTGTGCCGCTGCTGTAGGACTGACTGGCGGAGGAGACGAGCGTATGCTTTTCATCCGCCCTTGTGACAGTGAACCTCACAGCAGTCCCCACGAAAAAAATGCTCTCATATTTTGTAGGCGGTGTCCATCTATCTCTGCACAACAGAAGAACAACATCCGATCGTTGGAACGGCAATCAGTATGGTCCACAGAACCTCACCTCGGTCGGGTAGAACATGGAGGCATGTGTTGCCGACACTAATGTCCATATCGCAAGAATGGCCGGAAAGGGGATAACCTTGGGCGTACATCTCGACCAACACGGCGGTGCAGTTTGTTGAACAAGCAAGCGGTGATGGGCGGTTGGTTTTATTTCGTTTATTTTTTCTTATTCTATGACACAACGAATCCATCTCTATCATAGAAAAGAATCTGAGACAGATTAGCAATGAATTCATAGCGTCAGAAAGTACCTGTGTCTAAGGTTTCCCAGACAGCATATAGGGATATCTCCCCTGCGGGTAACAGGCTCAACAAGACAGTTTGGTAGCTGTCTTGTGTGTCTCATATATGTTATGTTGGGAAGGTGCAGACGAAATGTGTTAGGTACTGGTCGGGCGTTTTGTGTGTGGCACCCTATTTTGTTTTTCTTCCTTCTATTCCTATGTATCGTATATATATGTAACCGTTCACACTTTGCTGATTGGCTGACTCTTCATCTTTGCTGTTGAAACCAGAATCCAGGCACCCAGGCACCCCCTCTCTAGCACACACCGCAGCACCATACTCCCGGCAGCCGCTTCTCCTCTCAGCAATAGTCCAATCGGTGAGCGTTGGTAATGTGCGTGCGTGTATGTGGTGATGCAGCGAGTTGACTCCTGTTGGCGAGGTGAAGAAGAAACTTTGAAGGAAGAGAGCCAACATCTCGGATGGATGTTGGCATCCCGAGGATGCACACTTCCCGCTTTTGCACCCTCAGTTTCTCTACATACTGCTGTACCAAAGCAACTACCGTCATCGAGTTCGCGCAGCACACAGCAAGGTAGTGCACAGCGTCGAGCAGGGTTTTCTTTGCTGCCGCGGCAAGCTCCCTGTGTCTGTCTACTCTGCTGTACATACGGCAGACCATCACACTTTTCGACCCCCGAAATCGCCGGTTCGATATTCTGTTCTGTTTTTGCGTATGGAAGCAAAATGGCGGGGGGAGACACGCGTTATGTACTCCATTCGGGAAAGTCTGCACGACGTTTGTACAATACCATCGTGTGGGCTCTGGTGATGATTCCCTGCGTTTCCTGTGAATGACCTCGGCTCTCTTTTGTTGACCACTCGACATTATTATTTGTGGTCTACAGCAGTTTGACGTACTATCTTCATGGGTGTTTGGATGGCAATGAATGGCGTTTGCTCAGCGGGCACCTCCCAGCCACACAGAAACAACATGAGTTGCGAAGCCGAGAAACACGCGCGCGCGGATCCATAAGCATAAGTGTAAGCGTTTCTGGAGCAACCCGCGGGTCTGGCGTGTTCTCGCGTTATTATTTTTTTCGTTTTTCCCCGTGGTGAGGAATCAACGGGGGAACGATCCGTCCGTCCGTGTCTCGTCCATCAGAGTGCAAGAACTAATCGTCTCTTTTTTGTATGTGAGCGTATGTTTGTAGAGTTGATCAGGACGGTTGGGTGCAGCTCACTGCTGCTACTGGCTGTATCCGCTCGAAAATTTTCTCGCCCGCGAGAGTGAGGAAGTGTTTGCCTGCTGCCGTGTCCCGGAAAGCCTGCACGTTATTTTTCTGTAACGCTATGCTACAACTGTATTGTAGCTACGCAGTGCCGCAGCCGAATCGGCAGGAGAGCCTCCTTCCCCGGCAATTGTGTTATTTTCTCAGGCATACTTCCCTCCCTCCGCAGACAAGTTCGAAATATGAGAGAGGCACATGGGTCGAAAATCAAGTACCAGTCTAGACGGAAACCGCGAGGGTAGCACGTTCTCGCAGGACGACGAGGCGAAAAAAATGTCCACGTCGTGGGCATGTTGCGTTGGTTTTATATTTATTATATTCATACGACTCAATGCCCATGTGATACAAGTAGGGGCAGGGTGCGTCTATCTGTCTCTAACATAAAACGCACGCAACGAAACAGCAGCAAAAGAAGAAGCCCAAAATTTTGGGGCATCGCCGACCTGTCGGCCGCGTCACCGCGGTTTCCGCCCGGTCCTACCGTATTTCGCCGGTACGGTATATATATATATTCGCTGCCCACCAGCTCCTTCGTCGGGATGCCCGCCGGGGGCGGGCGTGGTAACCGCGGACACGAAAAGAAAGACTACTTGGACATACCCCTTTTTGGTAGGGTGCTGTCTCCAATCAATTCATGAAAACCACGACGATAGACGACAGCAGAAGTGCGGTGGGGTGGACTTTTTGTATTGTTTTGGGAAGAGGCCGAAGAGTAGGCACCGACCGGAGGCTAATTTACTCGTGGCCCTCGACGTTTGTTTGTTTTTCAGCTTTGTAAGAATCCAGTAATCCTCGCCACCCAAAAACGACAGCAGCTGCACACAATGTGATCATTGAGATAAGAGCTCATCGTGACAAGCTCGCATGAGACAACTCAAAACCAAGAGCGCGTTCTACACGTACGCATATCAAACATCCTTCGATGGGTGTTCTTCAGCTCCTGCAGCCCCCTCCCCCCTGCCCTAGCTAGCCTTTTGCCTGCAGCAGAGCCGGTGGAACGATTTCATTCACTCGTTATTTCGCGTATGGCCCGACCAACGATCTAAAAAAGAGCACCTGCTGCCCGCTCCCACCAGGTCCACCGATCAAGGTACCAGTCGGAGTCGAGCCAGGGAACGATGTGTGTGCCGGTTATTGGTCCTGAAGTGTCGATGGTCTGTGACGCGGGGTCGGCTTCCCGTCCCACCAGATTAAGCAGAGACGAGTCCTCGCGGGGCGGAAAAATACCGCCACCGAAGGACGGGGTCCGGGAGATAGCCTCACGCCCAACCACAGCGGCTGGGTCAAGGTAAGGAGGAGCAGGAGATAACCCTACTGCTTCTCGGAAACAATTTTTTTGTTGGTCGAATGTTGGCATACTTGGACTCTTCGTTGGAGAGCCAGAGTATTCTAAACGACATTTTCTTTTTTATCCCATCAGCAAGTACTGGGCCCCTGGAGCAGGCAGAGAGTGGTTTTTCAAACAAAAAATACTGGCTTCGATATCAGGACGAGACCGTTCTACTGTATTCTACTACTGCTACGATCTCCGATACGCTACAATTACAGTGGAATAGTTCCATGGGTGCCTTTCGTTTGACTTGTTGACCCCGTCTTCCGTCCCCACGCTTGCTCCCTTGTTTGTGTCTTGCCACCAGCGGTTCTCGCGGCGGTGGTCGTGTCGTTGGTCTGCTGGCCTTGGCGTTTGCCTTACCCATCAAACTGTGCAACGTGGAAAGCAAAAGTGAGTCTTCTAGCAGCCTCAAGCAAGCGCCTTCACTGGGTACCTCCAGCCGAGCAGAAGAACGTATTTATTGTTGATGCTTTCACAGCCTAGACTACAAAGTATAATATATATTCCCTGGAGAGTACACAGCCGAACTATCCTGTGTGGGTCGTTTTCCGTCCTTGTCTGCTGAAAGTCCTCCATCCCCTTTGTTGGCGATGCCTGACTGAGAATTAAACAGTTCCCCCTTTCACCCGTGTGACTTTGTCGTTGATCCGTGCCGTGCAGTGCTGGTTGAGCTCCCATCGGGGTTCAGGTGCATATGGAACGACCTGCCGCACATTGTCCAATTCGTGGCCATATTTATGGTGAGCGCGTTGATTTGAGTTGAGTGTCCGTCTTAGAGAACGGCATCATTTTTTTTTGTTTATGTCCGAATGTCACGGTTCCACCGCTCGCTGCTGTAAGTGTGACTCATCCACCACGTCTTTTTTTGCTGCACGCATGCATGCCATTTGCGGCCCCGCTGATTCGCAAGTGTTGCGAAAAAAAAACGGTACTGCCTAGGAAAAAAATAATTCGAAGCTCTGTGGAAGGATGGTGGTTGGTTTTGTTGTGCTGTCGACGACCGAACCAGTTAGTGTACCTTCACGGTCTTTTTGACCGAACGCATTTAACCAGACAAAATACTGAAAATAAAACATCATGTTTTTTCGCCTGCCTTTTTTGTGTTTCTCCACGTCGTCTATTGAGCGCGGCCTCCGTTTGCACCCGAAAAATACCAGGCGAACAGTTGGCTACGCACCAAGCTTTTTTTCCTATCTTTTTTCATCATTATTTTTTTGCGCGTCCTTCAGAAAGTTCGGCGGAGGCGAAATCGCGTGCTTTGGAGTTGATTTGGGTCGGGGTTTATTACCCTCCTCGACCGACCGACCCGCTGCTCTCTTGGAATCCTCACCCCGCCACTACTTGAGCTGTTTATATACCAATCCTCCTTCGCTCTCTTCCGGCAGATGGTGGTGCTTCTGTACCTGCTGCTTACCAAACCTTGTTCGCTCTGTTCTCGCATCACGCGGATAGTGGTGCTCCTGGTCTTGTGCTAACCATCACCCCAACCTTCTTCGCTCTCTCCCCGCATCATCACGTAGATGTTGGTGCTACTGTACGGTGTTAACAGAGCCTTCGACAAGGCGGACGACGCCATGTCCACTCGCTTGTCCCGCGCCACAGCGGCGCTTCTGCACGAGAGAAGGCACCACCACGCTCCCCGCCCCCGAGTTCTCTAGACCACGGCGAGAATCAAAGCTGCGCCGTCTACAGCTCAAGTACGCGATGCAGCGTTTCTGCATGGGAGAAGGCACCACGCTCAGCGTTTCGGCACGAGAGAAGCCCCCCGCCCCCCCCGGGTTTTCCAGTTTTCCAGACCGCCACGAGAAACAGAGCTGTGTCGTCTATGGTAGCAGCAGTACGCATGGTGCAACAGAGGAGAGACCCCACGTGTGTTCGGTCTTGGGCCAGCCAACCAGCACCACTTCATTCATTGCTTCTCCAGAAAATGAAATTTTCAGTTGAGGAATTTGGAATTCCCCAGCTACATTGCTAAGCGGCCTTTTGGCCATCATCATCTTGGATTGAGCGTCGTCGTTTTTTAGTGGTCTTTCTCCGTAGAAAAAGACAAATGAAGCATTCGAAAGCCGGTAAGTTTGCGTGTGTTTTTGACATCCATCCACGGAAAGCGAATGGATGGCATTATGTATGGAAGATTGTTCTCGCCACACCGCCTGTAGAAGCATCAAGATGCAACAAGCGTCTTGGCACGGGACGGGCGTGGCGTCAGGATATGACGTGCGGGCGCACACTCGATTTGTATTGTTGAATGAGTGTTCATCGTAAGGGGTGAAGTGCTGTCGCGTTGTGTGTGTTTATAGCTGGTTCCTCGGAGTTGAATTCGTCGAGAGAGGAACGTCCGTATATGGGAGAGAGAGAGAGCATCTCGTGCACTCGAGTCTTGCTGTTGATGTGTGTTCGCCGTAAGAGGTGAATCGTCTTTTTCTTTTCTTTTTTCATTGAAGGTGGTTCTCGGAGTTAAATTTGTCGAGAGTGGAACGTCGACATACTGGAGTTCACATTGTAGATATGCCGACTGTTAACTACTGTTGACGGTTACCAGCTGAGTGTTGTTGTTGGAACATCCTGAGACTGGTGCAGGCGAGGGATAAGGATGCTTCATTTGTTTTCGAGGTTGAAGCTCTCGTTGTGTGCCACAAAGAACACCCGGGTGAGACAACCAACCAACCGGGGTCGTTCGTTCTTGCAAGCTTCATCGAGTAGGAATCGTTCGCGGTTTCGTGTTCGTGTCCGTGTCCATCATGTATATACTGTATGCATAAATTTCGTCCCCCTGGGGCTACTCTTCTTGAAGTGGGGGGGGGGGGGGGGGCGCCGGAGATTGTTGCCCGGAGCAACCTCACAGTTGACCGTTTCGATTTTTTGGGGGGGGTTGTGTGTTTCCGGCACTTGGCAGCAAGGATACCGGTGGTGGAAGAGTCACTTGCTGTAGCTACCGGTGACACGCTCCCGTTGGTACGGGTGTGTTCCATGTGGGATCACCGGGCAAGAATCAGTATTATCATGATTGCGAGAGACCCATACCTAGATTTTTATGAGTTCGAAAGATTGCGTTTTGCCGTTGTCGGTGTGTTGTTTGTTGTATCCTGAAAAATACATATGCGACCAAAATATGTCTCAGAAACCAAGTGAAACCGGAACATGGAGAAAGGAATTTCGAGAGCGCTCAGTCATCATCATCACGGGAGTATCAATAAACCGATGCGGCCGCTAGAGAAGAGTACACTTGGACTGAGGTCGTAACTATTCGGAGCGGGGGATATCGTTAACGGCCGGCTGCGTCGGCGTCGCTCGCTCCGTTTCGCTCCACATTGCGTGGTATGGAAAAAAGAAAGGGTAATTTGTTATTTTTTGCGATAATCTCACGAAGAACACTTGAATAAAATAGCAAGACGAGGTTCTTAACTCCTTCTGAACGGCACATGGGCTCGCTCACACGAAGCTACTGCCTTCCGCAGCACAGAGAGGCAATGTAGACTACGCTAAATACAATGCGTGTGAGTCCTTCTCGTGGTTGGTTATGCCGTATGCGGTGGAGAGACGTCACACCCCCGTAGACCCCGATCAAAGTTCGATTGCTCCACAACCAAGGGGGCGCGGAAAGAGCCCGATATATACGTAGTTATACGTAGTTATACGGAAAGCCCCCGATGAAGCATTTCGAAAACCACCACCATTCTTGATGTTGGCATGCATTTGGGCTGTGGGGGTGATCGAGTTTGGAAAATCCGTCTGGTGGTGGGTATGATGTCATGCCTGTCCTTCTTGGTACCACGCCGGTCTACAGACATTATTACCGTATATGACACAAGATAACACACCTCCTGGACCGATTTTCAAAGCTCGATTACTCCACGACGAAGAACATGCATGAACGAAATGATACATTTTCGAAAAGCTCTCGACGAAACGGTTCCAACGCCACCGTTTTCGGCGCTGTGACTCTCCCTGCTGTTGAGAAATCGAGCTTTGAAAAATCGGTCAAGGGGGTGCTATCTTGTGTCATATACGGAATACGCACACACAAGCTGGCCCTCATTCTTTCAAGTGGGTCCTCCCCACGGACCTCGGACTACGATACCACGTCGATGTGCGTTGGCGTGGGGTAGCTAGCGTTATGTAGGAGGTGCGCGGTTGTAGCACCTGAATCCATAAGAGTGTACACGATGGGTCCGTCGGGGGAAGAGGATCAGGAATGGTTCGCGCGGTCGCGAACCTGCCAAAAAAAAAAAAAGTGCGTAAATGGGGGGGGTGGACCCGTTTCATTCACGGGGATGGGACAGACAGAAGGAGGGCAGAGCCGAGGGCCGAGATATCCATTGTCCGCGAGGAGGGAGAGACATCGATAAGACGAGGAGTTGAGCGCAGCATGCTTTCGAAGAAAAAGGGTAACCAACTTTCGACACGAGACAGCCCAAGCGGTGAGGAGAGCAAGACCTGCAATCGCCTGAAAGAATCGAGCAGTTTCTTCTCGCTGTCTCCGGACCTGTACGCATACGCTGGAATAGGAACAAGTCACGCTTAGAGAATGTATCGTTTCGGAGGCATGCCAAGCGTCGCGGTGCCCCGGCACGCAGGCCCCCGTCCCTCTACTGAATCCCTCGCTAGCTCCCATTTTCGGAAGAGAGGACACCTGCTCGCAACTCGTTTCATCCATCCGCCAAAACAGCGTTGTACAAGTTTGAAATTTGAATGCTTGCAGCCGTTCCGCTATTATTTTACAGGTTCAGCAGTCATTTTGTGAGCGAGCCGTCTCCCTCTCTCTCTCTCCTACCGTCGAATATTGTCGATGCCGTGCACTACGCACAGCACCTGGAACAGAGACAGGCCTAAACACAGTTGTCGGTTCTGTCCCGCATCTCCCTCCATGCATTATTATTGTGGTTTTGACCTGATAATTTTGCTTCGCAAGAAGAACTGGCGGTTTTTTTCGCCCCCCCTCTTTTGGTGGGGCGAGGTTTTGCCTTCAAGAGGTTCAACGTTGCAGTACCAGTGTGTTGTGTGCTGTATGAGCGCTAGCCGCGAAAAATAATGCTGTGGGGGAGAGAGGAGCAGGGGTAAAAAAGACAGCCGTGGGAGTGAATGAGTACACGGGTGGCGCGTGAGCGGTGTACGGGTACTCGCGGTCCGACCGCGGCTGGGGTGGATTTTTTCATCGATCGCCTGTTGCTGTATGTTGTCAGGTTCTTCCCACCATAAATAAGTAATCCTGGTGGATCAACCAACGACTGTATATCCTCCTCCCGCATCCATGTACCCTCTCCAAAGATAAAATGGCATGCAAATTGCTTTCGTTAAAAAAAATCAATCCACAACGTGCCTCACTCACCTTCCTCACGATCACGAGAGACCCCGGGTGGGTAACACCTCCATCGCGTGCCCGATGGCGCGCCCATCCTCTCACTCGGTTTTCTTGTTTTTTTTTTCCTTCAAGGCATCAGCAGCAGTACGTACGTACGTACGTACGTACGAGTTCCGTCGCATTGCAACCTCGGCCACGACTGATGCCTCATTTTTGTCGACCGATCATAGAGAATGTCAACAATCGTCGCACCTTCGGCGTACGTACGCGTTCTCGCCTGATTACGTCTGGCTTCCTGCCTGCACCTGAAGAGAACAAAGGAGGCGTTATTCCCCGCAGAAAGGGCGTTCTTTTTTGTAGCGTGACTACCCAACCCCACTCACGTCCCGCTCTCCGCTGCCATTGGACATATTCCTGCAAACGGCGCTGAAGCAGCGGAATGATGCACCCGACTCGACCACATGTTCCCAGTGATCCGGCCACCTTCCCCCCAGCACCAGTAGCAGATAGGCCCTCATTGACCAACGTAGCTGTTCCAAATCCTTCCCGCGTCTTGCAGGAACAGGCAGGGCACCTGTCAAGCCTACATTCAGCGCTCACGTTGAAGAAACACCAGTTAGGGGTCAAGACGAAATTTCTTATTTCGTCACCACCGTCGAGCACAGAGCGTACGCATAGTATATAGAGTTTAGTGCAGGTAATTTTTGTTGAGTTTAGTGGAGGGCAGTCCACGGCTGAGGGTGTGTTTCTTATTTATTAGTTTTTTTTTTATATTTTTATGGTCAAAATCTGAGCATGCATGCCTTTGTTTCTCAAACGCCTGTTTTGTGATCGGGGGCGCTAACTGCAAAACAGCGGCATTTTTTTTCTCTTAGTCGCTGGTCTCTCTATGAATATCGGGGGCGGGAAGGAGAGCGGCTGGCTCCGTCATCAGATCGCTGACAAGGTAGCCAGAGATAAAAATTCGGTGGCCGCAGAGAACAAACGTACCCGTCGAACGAGGTCTCTCCTCCTTCGCCTTCTCTCATGAGCACACCCTCGAAACGGACAACTGTTGTAGTCTGCATGATGTCTCCACTAAGGGCGACCATGAGATGACTCCGTGAATGAAAATTGTTCAAAGGCCACCAGCGCTTAGTGTGTTTTATTTTTTCCATCACGGTGTGTCTCTCCTTTCATTGCCTTCTCTCATGAGCGCCCTCCAAACAGACTCGTCTGCATGGTGGTTGCACCAAGGGCGGCCATCAGATGGCTCCGTCAATACCGCTGTCTAACCGGCGTCCAGCGCTTACCCTCGAGGGAGGGCGGGCCAGAGACACATTCGCCTCTTCGGCGACGGACGCTCTCCCTCACGTCGCGAAGGCCGACTCCGCAGTTTGGTCTAGTCTCTGCATGCGTCTGTTTCTCGTCGACTCTCCCTGCCGTTCCGATGACCCTGCCTGTGTCTCACTGGCGGTGGACACGCATGCCCCTGACATGATGAGCGACCGCTTTCCCATCAGTCAAATGTGTTGTTGTTTTCGTTTGTAGACGTAACGGTGGGGGGTGCTAAGCCGGTCTCCCGGCTTGCTGCACTGCGGTGTGTTCCTTTCTAGTTGTAGTGAGATGACTCTCGCGACGCGGTAGCACCTGCTGCTGCTGCCGCAGCTCCCGCTGCTGCTGCCGCAGCTCCCGCTGCTGCTGCCGCCGCCGATGCTGAGACGGCCTCCCCTGAAACTTCTGCTGCGCTTGGACATGCTGCGCTTGGACACGAAATAAGACCAAGAGAGGAGGTACCTCTGCAGTATTTCCCTGGAGTGGAGAGGTGCGCGGGTGCGCCCGCCCTTCATAAACCGTGCTACCCAGACGACGTGCTGTATTCCCAACTCGCTGCATGCTGGGTGTCGTTTCGTCCGCGACTGTCAGCGGTAACTCTCTCCGTAATAACTCGGTGGCGAGAGGTCCTTCATCCATCCCTCCCTGTATAAGTGGCAGCATCAGCAGCAGCGCTGATTTCGGTTACCCCTTCCCCTCCTATGGGCTAGCCAGGAGAAGACGTTAGCTGTACTGGGGCATAGGAAGTAGGTTGAAAAGGCGGGAAGTGATATCGATAGAAATGATATCGGTAATTAGGATAGATAGACCAGGGAAGAATGTTTGAGCCACCTTTGGCAAAGTAGGAAGGAACGATTGGCCATCGGTGATCGGTCCTGTGGGAACAATGCTCCGTCCTCTCGAGGACGCGTGGTCAATAGTCTAACCGCTAAGGCATGCAGAACGTAAGAGTACGCACCCCCCCTCTCCCTGCGGTACGCGCGCGATTTTCAGAAATATCCCGCAGGATGAACAACTTCATCGTGGTCGCCTTCGGCGCTGCCCTAATCCAGCAGCTGTTGTCTTTGCTCACCACGGACACGCCGGGAGCCGTTTCCGCAGGAGATGCTGCCGACTTCGCCGAAAGCTCTGCGAGGAGCTGCTTGTTGGCCCAGCCCTCCGATCAAAGGTATGTACTGTGTATATCATCATGAGGAATTCTCACACCGCTTTCTTTCTGTTGCTGCACGGAGCGCACCATGTAGCGCGGCGAACAAACGGACGGAGGAAATACGCTCCTATAGTTTTTCGTATCCGTGCGTGTCGTCCGATTTCATACTTCTGGCGAAAAAACGCCCAGCAATCGTAGGCGATACCAAAAACTGTGTGTTTGGAGTGTCCCCGATTGCCCCCCTCAACCCACTTTTTCCCCATTTGCACGCCCGTACGTCGCTTCGCACCAAAAACGATGCAGCGAGGCCGTCCTGCCGTGGCCCGCTATCTCCGCGGGTGCTGCAAGAGCGGTATGCCTCGGTACGCTTTCTTTTATCTTTTTGTCAACCGTTTCGGATTCCAAGACAACCTACACGGTCGGACATGTACTCACCCCCCGTGGTTGTTTACGTCCACCCCCGGTGGTTGTCATCGGGGTTGGGTTTTCGTCGCTTGGCAGCGATGTTGTGTAACAAGCCGATCACTTCGTGAGCTCGGCAACCATGTTACCGCTTTTTTTTTTGCCTCTGTTTTTTTTTTTTTGTGGAAAGCATAATGAATGGTGGTAGAGTACATTAGTTGTGCGGGGTCGGAAACCCTCACTCCGCGCAAAGGGGATGATCGCACCACGTTGTGGTAAGTTGGTCAAGCACCCTCGAGGCAGTTACACAGTGTTTTTAACTGTCCTTGGAACTGAAAGCACCAGAAAATAAATTAAGTCATACGCAGCTGTCATCCGTACGCAAGGAAGTAAGCACAAGATGCCGAACACCCTCAGCAGGATGCATCGCACCCTTCATGCGACTCGCCGAATACCCCACAGCGCTTCGCGCTTGGTGATGTGAGAGCCTGGTCCGGTGAGAACCCGGCGTGCTCCGTCCCGGCTTTGTAGGGATGCGAGGTCAATGGTCTAACGACTACGGCATGGACGACTATGAGTACCCCCCCCCCCTGGCTATCTCGCTGCAGTACCTGGCTGGCGTCCGCGACTAGTTCGATGACGAGCATTTTAGTCACGCCTGTGTGTGTGTTTTTTTTTTCTTCCTATTTGCTCGTATTGTTTAACGTTGGCATCAATGGCGCAAACCGGCTGACCAATGGAGTGTATGAGTGTGTGTTCCTCCCATTTATTCTGGCGCCAGCTCCACACCTCTCGGTGATTGAATCTATCTCATGTACCAGCCGGGGTAGCACAGGAGGAAGGTCGGATTTTCCCCCTATTCTTGTCCTCCCATTCCCTTCCTTCGGTACTTGCCTTGGGGTTTTATGTTCACCCTTTTATACAAACAATCTGTTGTTGCCCACGTTAGCCCTTGGCATGTTCGAGCACAAGCTAGAAAGCCTTGTACCTCCCGTCGCGAAGTTTCATGATTTTTCCTTCTCCACGCATCAACCTAGAACGGGGATCCGTTTGTTAGCCTCCTCATGTCCCCTCAACGGCCGCACTACTAGATATGCGTGTTTTTATTCGAACACTTAAAAATTGTTAAGGAGGCTACCCTTCGCAGCTCAATTGATAATCGCCCACAGTGCCAGGAGGATCACGCCCAAGCCTGTACTCATCTTCTCTCTCTCTGTCTGTGTGTCTTGCCTGTCTCTCTTACTGCTTCTCTCTCTCCCTCTCTCTCTCTCTTTCTCTCGAATGTGTCACAATCAATTGCCAGTAGGGTTGAGCTGCGCTGCGGGAGGTATGTTGGACGAGGGCACCTTGTTTCTGTTCGAGGTGGGGTTGAAGACCATCATCAATTTAATTGTGAGAAGGGGGTTACGCACACGTTGCTGAAGCTGTTAGATTATTATTTTTTTGAACCGTCTAGGTTTCCACTCGTTTGCGTTTGGGTGTTTTGCGTTTCCGTTGGCATGTGGGCGTGGAGTTTTGTAGCCTCGCGTTTGGACACAAGTTCATTGCTCTTTTGCCAGTGTCTATCACGCCCCAAGTCGTGACCGTTCACCCTGCTGTCTCGTCCAACGAGAGTCGGGCCGATAGAAGCGTCTTCGACCGCTAACCCTGGCTGCATAATCTCCTAGAACATTCCTTCTTCGTTGAATCTTTGCCATGGGCGATCGCTGTTCGCGAGAAGGGGTCAGTCAGAAGACAATCCTCTCACCACACACCGACGGCCGCGTGGACTACTGTTTGAAGTACCGCAGAGGTAGGTTCCCAATAACGCGGTGACACTAACGTTGGTATGCACCATCCGTCGTGTGTGCGTGTGTTGTCCGACAGATACTCCGAAGCCTGCGTTTCCTCGCACCGAGGTTTCAAGGACCATTATAACAAGGCATGCATGGGCGAAGAAAGCCGGGGTGCAGGGAAGGTCCGGATCACAGAGCATGCACACATCGGCGCCAAATCAGGCGCTGAAAGAATAATGGGGGGCGGGGGGGGGCAACGCGGAATCAGGTTCTAGGGAACGGTTCTGGCGTGTGCGAGGTGCAGCGAGGTCTGAGGGAGCAGGCAATGGCGCGGGGGGTGGAAGCCCCTGTCGTCGCCGTGGCTCATCAGCATCTTCGGCTGCGATACGACGGGGAAAGCTGTAACGGCCTGTTACCTCGCAATCAGACGCAAATGCGCCAGTCAATGACGGCAGCTGCAGCTGCTGATGCTGCTGCAGCAGCAGCAACAGAGACATCAACAAAACAAAATATACAAGGACGTATTCTGGAGTGTATGGGTCCCGGACAGAAAATGCCGGGTTAGCACTCGTGATGGTGGCAAGAGAGGAAGTACTAGATATGGTAACCCATGCAACAGAGTTGTCGATCTCTCTATAGTATGATAGTAAATGGCGATACGATTGCCCCACCCGGCCCTTGAGATAGCCTGTGACGACTTTGAATCATTGGACTCCTTTGGAATTTTGTGGCTCCAAACATCTGCAGCCTGTGTTGAGAATTGGACCTGAGGTAAATTCCGTCGGCCATGGAGGACGGATTCAGCTACTACAATAGCCGGCCGACGAGAGTCCGCGATCGATTTGGAACGGTCTAGTGTACCGCACACCAACTCGGTCTACGGGGGCATCAATTGAGCCTCACGACTATTCCCGGTGGCTTTTTTCCTTGTAAAGCTGGTTGCTGAGGCTCAAGACAATTTCGTGGTAGGGTAGACTAGTATAACAGTAGTAGTGTGATGTAGGCTGCTTCTAACTTCTGTTGCAGCTCGTAGATGTATTGAATGTTTGGCCTTCGTTGTGTGCATGCGCGTGATGGGCGCACTCTCACGTATGTCACGTGCGTTCATGCTTGCCATGTCTTGGGTTACGCAGGTTCGATTCAAGATATTTTCGGGGTCGAGATACGAAGGTTTGGCTGTTCTAGATGTTGGGCTTTCTCTGATGCTCCACGATGGTTGCGCTTGGGTATTTCCGCGTCGTTCTTGGAAACACCTGCTGTGGAGGCCATTCTCTACGTGTTGTACTACTGTATGTAGGGTCACGAAGACCACACAGCGTGTGGTCAAGATCAAGGTGCTTCTGTTGTCGACGTACGGTAGTCAGGCCAGTCAGGTGATTCTACTGTAGTGTCCGGTTGCTTTGTGGTTCTATTCGTGGTGTGCAGGGGGTGCAGGTATCCGCCGAGTTTAAGTGTATGTGTGGGGGTGAGAGTTTTACCGTGATCGTTTCGGCTACGTGTGTCTGTGTTTGTAAAAAATCATGTTCGGAACGTTGGTGTGCATGTGTGGTGTTCGTTCAATGTTGTGAGCAGCTGGGTGGCAGAAGCAACGATACTGATCATGTCGAAATTTAGGGTTGGCTGTCGCCGGCTCGATATCCACGTTCAGTCTTGCTTTTCTCCGCCACATCCTTTCTAGCTAGCTGCTCCCACCTTTAGGGGAGTAAGGGTGTAAGGGGGGTAAGGGAGGTAAGGGTGTAAGGGGGGTAAGGGGGTGAGGGCGTGAGTAAGGGGGGTAAGGGTGTAAGGAGGGTAAGGGGCGTAAGGGTGTAAGGGGGGTAAGGGCGTGAGTCAGGGGGGTAAGGGTAAGGGGGATAAGGGGCGTAAGGGTGTAAGGAGGGTAAGCGGGGTAAGGGTGTACGGAGGGTAAGGAGGGTAACCGGAGTATCAAGTTATCAAGGCGAGGAGGGTATCGGGTGAGGAGGGCGTCAGAGGGGTAAGGGGGGTAACAGCACCTCACTCAGCCTTATCGCCGCAGATGGCGCTTCAACAACTAAAATGAACACGCAAAGAGCCCTCCCGTTTAAACGGCAGGGGCCACGTGGAGACCTCGCTTGATGATGAGTATGGTCCTGTTCAACGGGATGTGGTCGATTCTCATATCGCCAGGGACGAGTGGGGTTGGCTTGACCGCCGAAAGAAAGCGCCGACGATACCTGCCCTCGGGTGTGGTGCAGATGCGACGGTAGTATCATAGCTTGTGCGGGACACTACCGTCGAATATTTTCCTGGTCGAACTCAAGTGTCACGTCTCGGTTGTACCGTAGTTCATCTTCGAAAATCATGGCGGGGGGAATTTGTATGTGGCGCCACGATTCTCTCGCCGCAGTATTCTTCAATCCTTGTGTCCAGGATGGTGTATTTTTGATGGGATGAACTTCATGTTTGGAGACCTGTAGCGGTTGTTCGTTGTTTCTACCTGCTTTCAATCGACTTGCGTTTTGAGACTTGTAGCGGTTTTGTTCGATGTTTCTACCTTATTTCAATCGACTTGCGTTTTGTGTGCGTTTTTCACTTGATGTACATTTCGTACCGTTTCCTGAGATCCATACGAAGCATTGCATGGGTTGGATTCGTATGTTATGGGAGATGTTACAGCAGGACGTTGCAGCAGGGCGGCTGTAAGATCATATCTTTGGGGAGAAGAATCAGGACGGGGGGCTGTTATATTATCCATGTCGTCTAGATGTTTGAGAAACGGCATAATCGGGGAACACTCTTCTCCCGCATCATATATGCGCGAGGTTTTGGACTTGTTAATGTTTTGCCGTACCTGGTACTGTTAATTTTCCGAATGGTGTGTAGAGGAGGAAGGATTTGGCATGATTTGATTAAGACATGGTAGAGACCTATGTGCTTCCGAAGCTTTCTTGAAATTGGTCAATGCGTTGAAACATGGTTTGGTTGGAGGATTGTGTTCGAAGTATTACTTGATGCGTTTTGCCGGAGTTGTCCGTCCAGGGCCTTTTTTGAGGCGACTCCGATGTAATATTGATCTTGCTGGGTGTTCATCCAAGGAAAAAATCTTTGTTTTTGACTGCTTGAGAATTTGTTGCGACGACTTTTTCTCGGAAGGGGGCGGTTGCTAAGATCTAGTTAATTTCCGAGAGTAGTAGTGAGGAGGAATAGTAGTAAGAAATTGAGTTTTCGATAGATAGAGGAGGTGAGATCATTTGTGGATATGAACGATGGAAGGTTGTTGGAGTTTGTTGCCGTTTTTTCGTGGCGATACGTACGGAGGATTTCTTCGTAGATCGTATCTCGTACCGAGTAGCGGGGCTGTTTGTGTGCAGTACTCGACGGAGTACGGTTCTCCGAGATCTCCAGGGGTTACACAGATGTGATGGGTATGGATACGATCGACTTTGGCGCGCCAGGCTCTTCTTGCCTTTTGCTCATATCTCACGCTCTAAGTAATAATGATGCAGGGACGCTCTTGATAAGAGACCCGCGAGCGTGATGACGAAGTGCACGCTTCGACACACCCCACACATCTGTCCGCTCTCTACTGTACGTTGTTGGCAATGGCCCACTCCTCACGTGTGCTGCTTTCGCTGCCGTCACCCACTGGACTGCTTTGTCCGCGCCGTCGTCGTATCTGACAAACAGAGCTGCTCTCCCAAGCGCGAAGCCCCTAGCGTGACCAGGCCTCCCCCCTAAACGTGATGAATGCCTTCGGAGTTTTTTGCCACCCTCTCCCTGTGGGGTTCCCCACCCTCGACTGACTGCGGAAACACTGTAGGCATAGTATGAGACAATGTATTTACGTATTTACTGAGCACCTCTGATCTCATGGTCAAGTTCTCAAGTCTCGATCTGTTTTACCGGATTTAGTATCTCCCAGATTCTTTGAGTGGTGTCGTGTTCTGTGTGGATAGCCGACCAGAGAGAGAACGACGGAAATCGCATGCGCTGGAAGGTGCGTCGATGCCGGTGTTTTTTTCGTTGTGGCTTGTGCCGGCCCGCCAGTTGTGTCTCATCGATTGAGCACAGGCTATTACTAAGTTTTACCATGTGCTTGGTTGTGGTGACTGCTCTGAGCCCGGTCCCTTGTGCCATTTCACTGCTGTAGTGTGTGGCCTATTTCTCATCTCTAGACCGATACTGTAAAAACATTCTGAGCACCTCGATATTATTTTGTGTTTGTGTGAGCGCGCCGGCTGTTGAATCGAATGAACATCGTCATTGTTGTACGTCTCATGAAGGGCTCTCCTGTGGTGCCGTCGTCTACCTCGTGCAACACAGCAATACTCATGTGGAGTCTTCACCGGTGGTGCAGACAGTAGTTGCTGATGGTATGTTTACCTCGCGACACACCTGGGTTTGAAACCCGCACGTCCACGACCCTACAGCAAAGCATCTCGGCAAGCATCGCCCCTTCTCCGCAGTCGATATCTGAATCTTTCATGTTGTCAGCGTGCGTGTTGATGGGCTACATGATACGCACGAGCAAGGAAGTGGTATCGCACGCAGCAGACGCGACCCGCCGGAGGCCGATATATTTCCTCCGCCTGTTGGCCGAAACGCGTGTTTTTTGGTTCTGAACCAAATGCGCGCGCTTTAATTTGAAAGCCGGTGTACATACCCACAGCGAAAGAATCGCGTGATGAGCTCTACGTCCAGCGCAACAAATACCAACAGGTTGGGGACAGCTAGGCGCTAGCAGGGAGAAGAACGAGGCTACGGCTGCTCGACAACGATCGCATGGGTTGGATCAAGTCCTTGTCAACGGTCGACGGATAGGGTGCCTCTTCGGCACCTTCTTCGGCGCTGTCGAACACTCTTCTTGCGGCACGTCATTTAATGATCCGAAGCCAAAGACAACTGTTCTGGTTCGTGCTGGCTTTGGCTCCGACACGCTGGCTGAAATCAACTGCTAGCAACATATCCCGGAGAGTCCTCGATGCGCTATTCTCCCAAAGGCACTATGATAGTGCTTCAACCTATCTAGGTTTTCTCTCCCGAGGATTCTCTCTCTCTTTGTCTGCTACTGACTGAAAACCTCTCACCTCTCTCACGCTCTCACGCTCTGGCGCTTCGAATCTTCAACCAAAAAAAAAGAGATACACCGAACCGCAGGCGTTCCGTTGGTTTTGTGTCACATAGGTCAGGCTGTAGCCGTTCGCGGCGGGTGCTACCCCGCCGCTCTAACAAGCCTGCCTACGGTACCGTGCTGCCCACTCGCCTTCTTTCCCACACCACGTAGTCTGCACGCAACACACAGAAAACAAACGCGTGTGGCTCTGGCTTTCGTGTGCTGATCTGAGAGAGAGCG